GTGTTTGAAACTAAAAGTAAAAAGTTTTATCATTGGGATAGTTTAGGAGGGGCGAATTGGGGGTATGCAGAGGGGTTGGTGAGGGAGTTGTTGAGTCAAATTCATTCTACTGATAATTTAAATTTAAAGCAATTTTTAGTGAAGAGACAAGAGGTTAGGCAAAATAATGGTTGGGAGTGTGGGATTGCTATAATAGCAACTATGAAGAGGATTAGAGAAAAGTATAGTGGGAGTATTAAGGATATTGAATTAGGGGAGTTTGATTTTAAGAAAGTAAGGGAGGAATTGAGGATGAAGTATTTACAAGAGCACAGTTAATTTACCTGATAAACAAAGTGCTATTAGATAAGGGGAGTTTGTGCCTCCTAAGATTTTATTTGGGAGGAATTTCAACTTGTGTTTGTTGCTTTTTATACTCTGCAAATAATTCTCTTAACTCAGCATCATTACCTTCACTTAAAAATTGTTCAGGAGTCATCTTAACTTCCTCTTTTAATCATTGGATATATTCGTAATCTTGGACTTGTAGACCAATGTCTAACCATTCTTGGATATCTAACTCTTGAATTTTTGTTTCTGACTGTTCATTTGAATGCTCTTCTTCTGAGTCAGATTCAGTTTTTGTTAGCAACAATTTCTCAAATTCCTTAAATAATTTTTCTAATTCTTCATCAGAATCTAAATCTTTTAATTCAAGCAATTTCTTTCCATCTTTCCTTCAGGCTTGTAAATCGTATTCATTTTTCCTTCAACTATCTTTTATTTTATATTTCTTTAATTGCTTAGCAATTTTAGCACAACCGTCACTTTTTTCATAAGCACATATAATTTTTTTTAAGTTATCAGGCAAATATTCTAAGCCCGATTCTAGGTCGGTATTACTTATATCTAAAGTTCTTAGATTATTCATATTCTTTAAATACTCTAAACTTCCGACAAAACGATTACGAATATCTTTATTTTTGATTATTAAGCCAAAAAATGATCCATCTCCTAACTTTAAGCTTTCTAATTTAGTCAAATGAGTTAAAAAGGATAGATCTTCTGAAAAATTATTGCCAGCCAAATTTAAGTCTTCTAATTCTTTGTTATGAGTAAGATCTAGGTTGGTTAGGAGATTATTATTACAGTTAAGTTCAACCAATTTTAGACAATTACTAAGATCTAATTCAGTTAATTGATTATTAGAACAGCCTATTTTTACTAAGTTAATGGCCTTTTTTAGATCTAAACTGATTAGATCATTACCTGAGCAATCTAATTCAGTTAAGTTTTCCAAGTGTTCTAGATTAGGGCTAAGGCTAGTTTTTGAAATATTTAAAGATTTTAAATTTTTTAGGTTCTTTAGGGGTTCTAAGGAACTAATGGACTTGTTTCCACTTAAATTTAACTTTTCTAAATTAATCAAAGGAACCGAACCGATTAAAAAGTTAAGGTCAGTTAGTGAATTGTTTTCAAAGTCAAGTTCAATAATATTAGGGCAATTGGTTAAACTGAGGCTGACTAAATTATTGTTATGACATACAAGTTTCTTTAAGTTAGTGAAATCTGTGATTTCTAATTCTTGGAATTCGTTGTAGGAACAATCAAGAGAGGCAAGTTTAACTTTGTTAGCTAATGTTAGTTTAGTTAACTTGGATTTTAAATACAATCCACAAATATATATTTTTTCTAAGTTAGGAAATTCAGTTAGATCTAATTCTCCACCATTAATGGTTTTACCTAATTCTTTATTATCGTAGTTGAAGCTAATTTCTTTAACTTTTTCTTTATCTTCTTGAGTAGGATATTGTCAATTTAAATATCCTTGAAGAGTTAAATTTTCCTTTAACTCCATTATGTTAACTGTTGTAGAATTATAGCCTTTTTGTATGGCATGGGCAGCTAGTGCATATTCTTTATCAGATTTTATTAACTCTTGGAAAGAGTCGTCGTTGGCTTGCTCTAACTCTTGGATTTTAAGTTTTAGAGAACGATTTGCTTTCCAAATTGGCAAAAGGTGGGCGAGGTTGTCAAGTCCATTGTAACTTTCGTCTTTTTTTGGTTCTCCGAATCTTCTTAATTCTTGCCCAATTGCTTTCACTCGACGATCTGGGCTTACCTCTTGGTGAACTTGACAAAAGAGTTTTTCAACACTATTTGGTAAATACTCTAAGCCGCTATCGATATCAGTGTTAGGAATAATTAAATGTTCCAATTTGCTCATGTTTTGCAAAGGCTCTAACGAACCGTAAAAACGATTAAAAATTCCCTTTTCTGCTCTTTCCTTGCTATCAGAATTACCTATTGCTAAAATAAATAAATTAACAAACCGAGAAAAAGGAGTTAGATCATTTCTCGGAAAATCATTATCTATGAGAAAAAGTCCTTGTAACTTATCGCTGTTTAAGTGATCCAAAAAATCAAGGTTAGTCAGGTAATTAATTCCACACATAAGTACAACAATTTCTGGACAATTTTTTATGTTCAAGTTAGTTAATTTGTTATAATTACAAATTAAGTGTTTCAATTTATAACAGCCGCTAATATTTAAGCCAGTTAATTGATTTTTATCGCAATATAAATTCTCTAAGTTCACAAAATCACTTAAATCTAATTCTCCCTCCAGTTCCTTTCCGCTAATATTTAATTCGGTAATATTCGCCCTTTGTTCTTTAGGATAGTTTCTATCCAATCACCTTTGGGCATTTCTTTTTCAAGCTTGAAAGTCACAAAGATAGTATGCCTCCCCCTCATGAATTTCTTCCTTTCGATAGTCCTTTAATATTTCCTGAATCTTTAAGCAACCAGCATCTTCTTTTTTGCTATCACACCAAATCTGTTTCAAACTCTCAGGCAAATGATCTAAACCGCTGTCGATATCTGTGTTATGAATATCAATGGATCACAATTTAGTCAAATCCTTTAGAGGTTCTAAACTGCCACAGAAGTTGCTATTTGGTATTCCAAAAGATTCTAGACTAGTGAATGAAGTTAAGTGTTTTCCCAAACGAGTTAGGTCTTGACGAGGAAAATTATTGCCACCAATGCTCAAATGAGTTAACTTTTCCGAGTTTAACTTGCTAAGAAAACTATAGTCAGTGAATAAATTATCAATCAAAAATAATCCTCTTATATTAGGGCAATTAGCAATATCCAAGTTAGTGACCTCGCACTCACTAATATCTAATGAACGAAGTTTAGGCAAATTATTCAGAGTTATGCTGGTAATGGGATTTTTTCAAATTTCTATCTTCTCTAAATTAGGCCAATCGCTAATAATTAATTCTCCTGAAAAGTACTTTTTGCTAATATCTAATTCTGTTATTTTATTTCTTTCTTCTTGCGAGTAATTCTTGTCTAATCATTCCTGAGCATTAATCTTTTTTTTGTACTCACCTTCGTCAGCACAGGTGAAAGAATTATCCTCATCTAATTGTTTTGCTATTTTTTTAACTTTACTTTCTGGACGTTCCTTGTTTGAACAATTGATTGCTTTGATACTTTTTGGTAAATTCTCTAAACCTTCCGTAATTTCAGTATTACTAATATCTAACTCTTCTAATTTATTCAGTACTTTTAAGGGTTTTAAACTACCTCAGAAACGATTAAAAATTCCTTTTTCAATATTTTTATCATAATATGTTCCAATCTGCAAGTAATTTAAATTAGTAAATTTGCTAAAGACCGATAAATCTTGCTCCGGAAGATTATTGCTAGATATACTCAATTTCTTTAATTTTTCAAAATTCAAAGGAGAAAAATTAATTTCAGTGATTAAATTTCTATAGCAAAAAAGAGTAGTGAGATTTGGGCAATCATTTAAATCTAAATTGGTAATCTTGTTGTTAGAACAATATAGTTCTTTTAGATTAGTGAAACTTTGCAAACTTAAAGGACCTACTAAATTACTATTTCCTATGTCTAACTCCTTAAACTTGACTCTTTTTTCTGATGGACATTTTCTGTCTAACCATTCTTGTGCATTTTTGCTTACTCCTCGCCGGCTATACTCACCCCTATTCTTATCAGTAAGTTCAAAGTTTAAGGAAGATAATTGGTCAACTAATTGCTTCACTTTACTTTCCGCCCTTTCCTCAACTAAAAAGCATATTTTTTCCACACTATCAGGTAAATATTCTAAGCCACTATCGATGTCTGTATTATGTATTCATAATTCTTCTAATTTAGTTAAATTTTTTAAAGGTTCTAGGGAACCGGTAAATTGGTTGTAAATCCCTTTAGAGAAATGTTCTTTATTATCACCACCAATTAATAGATTTTCTAAATTCACAAGGTTACTAAAGACCGATAAATCTTGCTCCGGAAGATTATTATCAGAGATATTCAAGTAAGTTAGTTTTTCAGGAGTTAAAGAAGAATAATCAAACTTGGTTAAAAAATTATCATTACATTCAACCTGTTCTAAATGTTTTAAACTAGTTAAATCTAATTCAGTGATTTGATTGAAACCACATCTAAGAACTTCTAATTGCAGGCAGTTTCTTAGATTAAGTTCTGCCAATTGGTTATCTTTACAAACTAGTTCTTGAAGTTTAGTACAATAATTAACTTCTAATTTGGTTAATTTATTTTTTCCACAATGAATTTCTTCCAAAATTGGACAGCCAGAAAGATCCAAATTAGTTAATTGATTTCGTGAGCAATAAAGTCCTTTTAAAAATCTCTTCTGCCCTAGTTCTAGTTTAGTTAAAGGCGATTTCAGACAATGCCCATCAATTATTATAATTTCTAAGTTAGGATAATCAGATAGATCTAACTCTCCACCATCTACATCTTTGAGAGAATTTTCTTCATCAATAGTGATTTCTTTTACCTGGTGCTTAATTTTTTTAGTTGAGTATTGCTCATCTAATCATTCTTGAAGATTATCAACTGGAGGCAATTCTTCTAACTCATCTTTATAGCGTTCAAGTATGTGTGCTTCTTTTTCTAACTGCTTGCAATATTCTTCCTTTAGCTCTTTAATACTATTATCGTCTAACTTTTTAATCTCTTGAATTATTAGGTGTTTAGCTTCTCGTTTAACTTCTCTCAGTCAAGCATAAAAGGCAGCGTCTCTTGGATTAAATTTTTCTCCCAAACCCTGGGCTCATTTTTGGGTTTGTCGATAGTGAAATCCCTGGATTTGTCATTCTAATACTAATTTCCTGCTAATAAATTCTGGATTAATGCTTATCCAGTCACTGTTGTCTTCATCAATAATACTATCAAAAAAAATTTCTCCTCCTACTTCATTGGCAATGTCATCATAGTTATTAAAAATGTGTTAGAAGAATTGCCTCCAGTTGATAATCTTCAAGAATGATTAGATGAGCAATACTCAACTAAAAAAATTAAGCACCAGGTAAAAGAAATCACTATTGATGAAGAAAATTCTCTCAAAGATGTAGATGGTGGAGAGTTAGATCTATCTGATTATCCTAACTTAGAAATTATAATAATTGATGGGCATTGTCTGAAATCGCCTTTAACTAAACTAGAACTAGGGCAGAAGAGATTTTTAAAAGGACTTTATTGCTCACGAAATCAATTAACTAATTTGGATCTTTCTGGCTGTCCAATTTTGGAAGAAATTCATTGTGGAAAAAATAAATTAACCAAATTAGAAGTTAATTATTGTACTAAACTTCAAGAACTAGTTTGTAAAGATAACCAATTGGCAGAACTTAATCTAAGAAACTGCCTGCAATTAGAAGTTCTTAGATGTGGTTTCAATCAAATCACTGAATTAGATTTAACTAGTTTAAAACATTTAGAACAGGTTGAATGTAATGATAATTTTTTAACCAAGTTTGATTATTCTTCTTTAACTCCTGAAAAACTAACTTACTTGAATATCTCTGATAATAATCTTCCGGAGCAAGATTTATCGGTCTTTAGTAACCTTGTGAATTTAGAAAATCTATTAATTGGTGGTGATAATAAAGAACATTTCTCTAAAGGGATTTACAACCAATTTACCGGTTCCCTAGAACCTTTAAAAAATTTAACTAAATTAGAAGAATTATGAATACATAATACAGACATCGATAGTGGCTTAGAATATTTACCTGATAGTGTGGAAAAAATATGCTTTTTAGTTGAGGAAAGGGCGGAAAGTAAAGTGAAGCAATTAGTTGACCAATTATCTTCCTTAAACTTTGAACTTACTGATAAGAATAGGGGTGAGTATAGCCGGCGAGGAGTAAGCAAAAATGCACAAGAATGGTTAGACAGAAAATGTCCATCAGAAAAAAGAGTCAAGTTTAAGGAGTTAGACATAGGAAATAGTAATTTAGTAGGTCCTTTAAGTTTGCAAAGTTTCACTAATCTAAAAGAACTATATTGTTCTAACAACAAGATTACCAATTTAGATTTAAATGATTGCCCAAATCTCACTACTCTTTTTTGCTATAGAAATTTAATCACTGAAATTAATTTTTCTCCTTTGAATTTTGAAAAATTAAAGAAATTGAGTATATCTAGCAATAATCTTCCGGAGCAAGATTTATCGGTCTTTAGCAAATTTACTAATTTAAATTACTTGCAGATTGGAACATATTATGATAAAAATATTGAAAAAGGAATTTTTAATCGTTTCTGAGGTAGTTTAAAACCCTTAAAAGTACTGAATAAATTAGAAGAGTTAGATATTAGTAATACTGAAATTACGGAAGGTTTAGAGAATTTACCAAAAAGTATCAAAGCAATCAATTGTTCAAACAAGGAACGTCCAGAAAGTAAAGTTAAAAAAATAGCAAAACAATTAGATGAGGATAATTCTTTCACCTGTGCTGACGAAGGTGAGTACAAAAAAAAGATTAATGCTCAGGAATGATTAGACAAGAATTACTCGCAAGAAGAAAGAAATAAAATAACAGAATTAGATATTAGCAAAAAGTACTTTTCAGGAGAATTAATTATTAGCGATTGGCCTAATTTAGAGAAGATAGAAATTTGAAAAAATCCCATTACCAGCATAACTCTGAATAATTTGCCTAAACTTCGTTCATTAGATATTAGTGAGTGCGAGGTCACTAACTTGGATATTGCTAATTGCCCTAATATAAGAGGATTATTTTTGATTGATAATTTATTCACTGACTATAGTTTTCTTAGCAAGTTAAACTCGGAAAAGTTAACTCATTTGAGCATTGGTGGCAATAATTTTCCTCGTCAAGACCTAACTCGTTTGGGAAAACACTTAACTTCATTCACTAGTCTAGAATCTTTTGGAATACCAAATAGCAACTTCTGTGGCAGTTTAGAACCTCTAAAGGATTTGACTAAATTGTGATCCATTGATATTCATAACACAGATATCGACAGCGGTTTAGATCATTTGCCTGAGAGTTTGAAACAGATTTGGTGTGATAGCAAAAAAGAAGATGCTGGTTGCTTAAAGATTCAGGAAATATTAAAGGACTATCGAAAGGAAGAAATTCATGAGGGGGAGGCATACTATCTTTGTGACTTTCAAGCTTGAAAAAGAAATGCCCAAAGGTGATTGGATAGAAACTATCCTAAAGAACAAAGGGCGAATATTACCGAATTAAATATTAGCGGAAAGGAACTGGAGGGAGAATTAGATTTAAGTGATTTTGTGAACTTAGAGAATTTATATTGCGATAAAAATCAATTAACTGGCTTAAATATTAGCGGCTGTTATAAATTGAAACACTTAATTTGTAATTATAACAAATTAACTAACTTGAACATAAAAAATTGTCCAGAAATTGTTGTACTTATGTGTGGAATTAATTACCTGACTAACCTTGATTTTTTGGATCACTTAAACAGCGATAAGTTACAAGGACTTTTTCTCATAGATAATGATTTTCCGAGAAATGATCTAACTCCTTTTTCTCGGTTTGTTAATTTATTTATTTTAGCAATAGGTAATTCTGATAGCAAGGAAAGAGCAGAAAAGGGAATTTTTAATCGTTTTTACGGTTCGTTAGAGCCTTTGCAAAACATGAGCAAATTGGAACATTTAATTATTCCTAACACTGATATCGATAGCGGCTTAGAGTATTTACCAAATAGTGTTGAAAAACTCTTTTGTCAAGTTCACCAAGAGGTAAGCCCAGATCGTCGAGTGAAAGCAATTGGGCAAGAATTAAGAAGATTCGGAGAACCAAAAAAAGACGAAAGTTACAATGGACTTGACAACCTCGCCCACCTTTTGCCAATTTGGAAAGCAAATCGTTCTCTAAAACTTAAAATCCAAGAGTTAGAGCAAGCCAACGACGACTCTTTCCAAGAGTTAATAAAATCTGATAAAGAATATGCACTAGCTGCCCATGCCATACAAAAAGGCTATAATTCTACAACAGTTAACATAATGGAGTTAAAGGAAAATTTAACTCTTCAAGGATATTTAAATTGACAATATCCTACTCAAGAAGATAAAGAAAAAGTTAAAGAAATTAGCTTCAACTACGATAATAAAGAATTAGGTAAAACCATTAATGGTGGAGAATTAGATCTAACTGAATTTCCTAACTTAGAAAAAATATATATTTGTGGATTGTATTTAAAATCCAAGTTAACTAAACTAACATTAGCTAACAAAGTTAAACTTGCCTCTCTTGATTGTTCCTACAACGAATTCCAAGAATTAGAAATCACAGATTTCACTAACTTAAAGAAACTTGTATGTCATAACAATAATTTAGTCAGCCTCAGTTTAACCAATTGCCCTAATATTATTGAACTTGACTTTGAAAACAATTCACTAACTGACCTTAACTTTTTAATCGGTTCGGTTCCTTTGATTAATTTAGAAAAGTTAAATTTAAGTGGAAACAAGTCCATTAGTTCCTTAGAACCCCTAAAGAACCTAAAAAATTTAAAATCTTTAAATATTTCAAAAACTAGCCTTAGCCCTAATCTAGAACACTTGGAAAACTTAACTGAATTAGATTGCTCAGGTAATGATCTAATCAGTTTAGATCTAAAAAAGGCCATTAACTTAGTAAAAATAGGCTGTTCTAATAATCAATTAACTGAATTAGATCTTAGTAATTGTCTAAAATTGGTTGAACTTAACTGTAATAATAATCTCCTAACCAACCTAGATCTTACTCATAACAAAGAATTAGAAGACTTAAATTTGGCTGGCAATAATTTTTCAGAAGATCTATCCTTTTTAACTCATTTGACTAAATTAGAAAGCTTAAAGTTAGGAGATGGATCATTTTTTGGCTTAATAATCAAAAATAAAGATATTCGTAATCGTTTTGTCGGAAGTTTAGAGTATTTAAAGAATATGAATAATCTAAGAACTTTAGATATAAGTAATACCGACCTAGAATCGGGCTTAGAATATTTGCCTGATAACTTAAAAAAAATTATATGTGCTTATGAAAAAAGTGACGGTTGTGCTAAAATTGCTAAGCAATTAAAGAAATATAAAATAAAAGATAGTTGAAGGAAAAATGAATACGATTTACAAGCCTGAAGGAAAGATGGAAAGAAATTGCTTGAATTAAAAGATTTAGATTCTGATGAAGAATTAGAAAAATTATTTAAGGAATTTGAGAAATTGTTGCTAACAAAAACTGAATCTGACTCAGAAGAAGAGCATTCAAATGAACAGTCAGAAACAAAAATTCAAGAGTTAGATATCCAAGAATGGTTAGACATTGGTCTACAAGTCCAAGATTACGAATATATCCAATGATTAAAAGAGGAAGTTAAGATGACTCCTGAACAATTTTTAAGTGAAGGTAATGATGCTGAGTTAAGAGAATTATTTGCAGAGTATAAAAAGCAACAAACACAAGTTGAAATTCCTCCCAAATAAAATCTTAGGAGGCACAAACTCCCCTTATCTAATAGCACTTTGTTTATCAGGTAAATTAACTGTGCTCTTGTAAATACTTCATCCTCAATTCCTCCCTTACTTTCTTAAAATCAAACTCCCCTAATTCAATATCCTTAATACTCCCACTATACTTTTCTCTAATCCTCTTCATAGTTGCTATTATAGCAATCCCACACTCCCAACCATTATTTTGCCTAACCTCTTGTCTCTTCACTAAAAATTGCTTTAAATTTAAATTATCAGTAGAATGAATTTGACTCAACAACTCCCTCACCAACCCCTCTGCATACCCCCAATTCGCCCCTCCTAAACTATCCCAATGATAAAACTTTTTACTTTTAGTTTCAAACAC